GAGGACTGCATTCCGTTCAATATTTTGAATTCACCAAACATAATAAATTTCATAGATCCGATTTGCGATGGCCTTAGAGTGTCGGACGGACAAAAAAATTACGCTGAATGCATCAAACTGCAAAAAAACATTGTTTATGGTTGCTAATAACATAAAATTGGAAATCACCAATGAAGTGAAAAACAAACTGTTATCATTGAAAATAGACAGTGCTACAAGGCTGTCCAGAAATATATTTGGTGTAAGTGCTCAATTTATTAGTGCGGTACGAATTAAATCTATTATTTTGGGAATGATAGAATTGAAAGGAGCTGGATCAAGCACAGCCAAAAATCTTGCCATTGAAGTGTTGAATGTGCTAAAGCGATACAACATTAATTTAACCCAAATCGTCTCGATAACATCTGATAACGGTGCAAACATGCTGAGAGCGACAAATATTTTATCATTTATTTCTGAGGAGGATGTGGAAGAAAACGACGAATTCTGCACTAACGATGAATATTTAAAAAAAAAACTGAACTTGTAGAAAAAGTGCCAAACGTGCTAATAGGAAATATACAAGTGTGCCGATGTGCAGCACATAGAACCCAGCTGGTCGCTCTTGACGTTGCAAAATCGTCTGGCATGCTTAAATACCTATGGAAATGTCGTAATCTTACAAAATACATCAGAAAAACGTCAAATGGCTATCGCGAAATATTTCAGTTAAAAGGATTGAAAATGCTTCAACTAGATTGCCCTACGAGATGGGGATCCACGTATACTATGTTGTAGGACTTATTAGCAGCTAAGCATATGTTAACTAAAATCAAATCTATTAAAAATAAATCTGAGGATGAAAACTTCGAAGTGGATACGTTGTTTTGGGATTTCATTGAATGTTATTGCACAGTTTCCCATCCCTTGCAAAAAACTATAACAAAGTTTCAAGAGAAGCAATTACACTACGGAAACTTTTACGCATAGTGGCTTAAACTAAAAACAAGCACCGAAAAAATTGTAAGCGATTCAAGTCAGGAGCTAATAACAATAATTGGAAACATGATTTTGAAATCAATAGAAACACGAACAATAACGTTATTTAATAATAAATTTTTAATTTCGTGCTTGTTTCTGGACCCTCGCTTTCAACATACTTTAACTGTACAGCAAAAAACCGAAGCTACTCTTCATTTAAAAACAATTTGGGACAGAATCCATGAAAATAATCCTATTGGACCCTTATACTCCGCGCCAACTTCTGCTTCCACACCGGCAACTTTTTTGATGAGGAAGATGAACTCATGTATCAATATTTAGTACAAGGAACCCAAGCCGAAATCAACAATACGTTCGACGCGTATGCAAGAATTGAGCATCTCCAACTGCCTTTCCAAAGAATTGACGATGTGCTAAAATTTTGGAAGGGAAAGCAGTACACTGACCCAGAATTGTACGAATTAAGTAATGTTTGTTTTGCAGTCCCGCCAACTCAGGTTAATATAACGTTTTCATCATTATTTCCCAAGTTGTTTTTTTCCTGCTGCTCAAAAGTATTAAATGCAGAGTCCACAAATCTCAGACAATGTTATTTGGAAAATTTAACATGATTGGATTGTGATAATTTGAAAATTA